AACAAGGAAGGCACTTTGTAAGATAGCCAGAGGAAGTCCTACTGTATGTGACCTGACAAGTTATTCTCAAGAGCGCATTCTCTGCCATGCTACCTTTTCTCAGGAGTGCTTGCCTGCTGAAATCTGTGGACAATCTACCATTATAACTTTCAGGCAGGCCTTCCATGTAACAATAACACAGACGTTATTCTTTCTTCATCTTTCTGATGTCTATTTAAAAGGCTATAAGGATCTAAAGGGAAAAAAACAGGTTAAGACAGAGGTAGCTAAGGATTCAGAAACTGACTGCCTCTAAGTTAAAATCAATTTTAGTTGCGAGCAGGGTTGTACCAGGAAGAGCTGCTATACAATCTAGGGATGGCTCTTGAATACCGGACAGATTTATTACTTAATATACTTCACACAGTGTTTACTTGATAGTTATTGTAATGCTATGTATTACATATTGTGGCTAGAAATGCTCAATTAGATAATAGAAGCAACATAAAAACATACCTAGTACCCATTTTTTAAAGATTAACTAACTTTCAATTGCCAAGACAAAGGGAATATAAAATGTGTAACCAAAGCGTAACTTGCATTAGAAAAACAATTAAGAGAAAATTATAACACAACCCCATATTGTAAATAAATATAGAACTGAAAGTTATTTCCAACTTTTACCTAAATTCTTAAAATTCTTAAAGTATATTAAGTAATATAATGTGCATTCTCCTCCAATTGTCATTTCCTAGAATTATCATTACCAAAAATATATGTGCAACTGGGTAAATGTAAAAAAAATGGTTCTTTATAGAGTGCTTTCTAATAAGATTAAATTAGGAATGTTAAGAAAAAACTACTCACAGCATGTAAAGCAATTTCATTTTCACTGACATAGGTGGATTTGTTAGACTAAATTACAGTACATGTATTAAGAAGGACTATCATTTCCATTTGTTACACAATGTAGGAATTTCATTTTTGCTACATGCCAATTAATTCACAATTCAGTGCACTTTGAGTGATTCGGTTAAATTTAGAAGTAAAAAATTGCTGGCATGTCATTATTATAGATTGCTACTAAATCAGAGTGTATCTAAAACTGCTGTTAGGTCACCAATTGTTTCCAAAACCTTATGCTGCCAAAGATAAAATCATATAGTGTTCACTCAAATCTCAAATGAATTTCCATTTTTAACTATCTGAAAAAAAGTACGATCATATACACTGCTACATTTTATAACGCTATTAATAATTCTCAAAATTATTAAACAGAAGAAATTGCTCTGCGGATCACCAAAATTTTCTCACAGAGCACCAGTAGTACCTGGCCCACTGGTTGGTGACCACTGGTTTAAAGTGTGCACGTATGTTATATTGGCTGAAGATCCTCCTGAGATTTTCCGATATGCCTGCAACATATGGAATGACAACATTGCTTCGTTCATTGTTCTCATCACTGTCTGTTACAGATGAACTCCTGTAGGATCTTTTTTGAGATTTGATGAAGGCCCACTTGGGATAGCCACACGTTCCGAGGGCTTCCTTGATGTGTTTACCTTCTTTTTCTTTCCCATCTTTGCAGGCCTTCAGCTTGGTGATGTACGATTCCGATGACTCCCATTTTGTGCTCCAGTGGGTGGTGGGAATCAAAATGTAAATATTGATCTGTGTGAGTGGGTACCAGCCTACCAGCAAAGATGGAAAAATCTCTGACTTTGCAGATCAAGAACTATAGCTTGAAAGCAGTGGATTCAAGTTTGTTCCTATCAGAATATTGCATAAGCAAAGTGCCAGCCAAACATTCCAACCAATAAAAAACTATTTTCATCAATTTCCCTCTGAAATGTCTGTGCTATTCCTTAAGCTGTTATAGAACATCCCTAAATCCTGTGGAACAGATTTTCAGGGGGCAGAGAAACCTGGAAAGAGGAGAAAAGGATAGAAGGAAACTGGCCTCTTACATCAACATAAATGTTTTACTAACTAGACAGTGCTCCAATGGAATATAGATCCAAGATGCATTACTTTTATATTTAATATGCATTTTGGGGCTTCATTGTAGTCTTACATAGTCCAATATACAGTGCTACCATCTAGGAAATGGTATTACCACACAGAGCCACTCACCCAATACATATCCATTCCAATGACTCTTTCCAATTATCCAGAGTTACATGTAGGCTTAATTCTCAGATTACAAGTTATTATTCTACCAACATTTAATACTTCTATCCAAGACTTGAAGCCCCTTTCTAAAAAGCATTGAAGACTACAGCCCTACACAGGCTTACATAAGCGGAATTCCTTTGAGATCAGTGGTCCATTTACATAAACATGAATAGGATTGCCCTATCAAAATGTAATCCTGCATTTGCCTAAATCACATCAAACAAAAGTCCATTAATTTCAGAACTCATTCCCTTCTGTATATACAGTTCTGTGCAAAAGATGCAATTGAGTTGCATAATATTAAAACGTGAAATGCTGCATAACAAGACACCTATACAAACATATTAGATCAGGAAATATTAATCACATTTTCACTTTTCACACTTAAAAATGAAAGATCTTAGCTAGATTATTTTGACATATGTGCATGCACATGCATACACGGAATTTAAGTATGGTTATAAGATATGTTCTAGTACACAGGTTTACTTCTGAGTGAAAAAGTATCAGAGAATCCCAAGGCTCTGGGCTAGATTGGGAAGGTGAAAACCAGCACTGATGACAGCAATTGCAAGCTCTAGGCATACTGTTGCCAAGAAAATGACAGAAATGTCAAAAAAGTCACCAGGAGTCATATTCCACTTGAAATAAATTTTACTTTTTTCTAATTAATGGAGTTGCTTCTAGACATTATAAGCAGTATTAAAAGGCCTGTATTAATGATCAAGAAGATAAATAATACAAATTGCTTTCCTTTTTATTTTTTACAGCATTACTACAAAATCAGGATCTCAAGTTTAGGGTAAGCATGAGGATTTTTTTCCCATTTTAAGATAAGAAGTATGAAAACCAAAGTTCTTTCCCCACAATTAGAATGTATGAATATAATGAAGTGATACTGGTAGATGGAATGTTTTTTGTTTGTCACTTCTATTATTTTCATAAATAACTCAAACCTATCTAATATTCTTCCTCCTACTCGCAACTTCTCTGTGAGTGACTGGCCCAAACTCACAGCTGACTTTCATGGCTAAGGCAGGAATAGAATTCAGTCTCCAGGTTTCTAGCCTGGTGCCTTAACCATTACACCTAACTGCCATCGTTTTTATTGGTTTTGTATGGCACATACTGGAAAGGGAAAACACACAACCCTTTTCTAATTCCTACTCTATCAAGAGGTAAGAATTTAAATTTTAGCTTTTTAATAGAATAAGTTTTAGAATAAATTGATTTTATACAAACATGCTTAAGAACCATAAAGTGCATTACAGTATATGTTTATCAAGCGCGCATCCTAATTGGCCTGAATTTATTGTGTGATAATCAATCATGGCTTTTGGGTAACCTATATTTTAAAAAGTAATGTTTAGCATAAAAAGATAAGACCCTGAAATCCTTCATTACTGTACAGCATCTTATATACAGAATACAGTCTGCTCAAGTTTATAATCATTTACTACCATACATAGCAAAGCAATTCAACAAAGTATGTCAAGAAAGCATAGTTAAACTTTAAAGAATACAATTATTATACAAATTGAACTTTAAGTCTCTGAGCTAATGTTCTCCCTAATAATTACACAATAACTGAGTGGCAATAGAAACATCAGTTATGAAATACATGAATCACATGCTAATATTTCATAATCAATATACCCTGTTCATTAAGTGTGTTTGTTTCCCTCTCTTCCCTCACATTTCTCTATTTCACAGTTTGAACTCTAAACAGAAAAGGAGCATTTCAAATATTTCATTTGGAGATTGGAGAAAACTTCAGGCCTATCCTTACCCAGTTCTGTAGAACCAGACCTTAAGAAAACTTTCTCATTAGCTAAACATGTTTTGTTCGCCTTTTTATTTGTTTGGGATTCATACCCTGAGAGGATCTATGTAATAAATTAAAACCCGGGGTTGGGTTTTATGTATGTATGTATAAGTGTATATATGTGTGTGTGAGTGTGTGTGTACATATACATGCATACATAGTATCGTATCTGTGTGTATGTATGTCATACATACATATACATATATAAATGACA